GTGGAATACTTGAAGTTGAATTACTGCCACTTTACAACTTTATTTTTAACTGGTTAACAATCTACCCAGAAATATTTTAGTACAACACAAAAGTATAAAAAAGGGAAAATGCATACAGAGGGCAGCATGGGTGGAGTAAACAAACAGACCCCCATCATTTTGAATTTCTGTGAACTCCCTTTAAATGTTGACTGATGTACATTGAAATATGTGTGATTGTCTTAGATATGCTTTAAGTAAATACCTTGAGCAAAGGGCTGATGGATAATCCAAAAAAACCAAACTGCCCCACTGATGTTATAATAAATCAAAATTTTATTTGATATACGTATATTTATGTCTTTCCTCCTAAGACCAGAGAACTTTGATTTCCTTAAGTTAAATGTGTTACCGATATTATTTTTTTTCTAACAAATTGGGTTTTTTTTCATATGAATTATTAATTTCTTACTTTATCCAAATGTGAAATGTGACTTTTGTTTTTGGGCTTCAACCAAACCAGTCTGCTGACACTCTCTTTCGATAACCCTGCTGATTTCTACAAACAAATATGTAAATGTATCTGGGGAAGGATTCAAAGTGTTCAGTCAAAACACTTTCTGATCATTCAAAGTTTCCTCCGACTTTCACCAAAGCTATTGAACTGTACTTGTCGGTAGCTTTAGATGAACAGATGAGTCCGAGCTTGACATGCTGCGAAGCCTTACACGTGTGTGGTCCCCCGACTGTACATGTGTGTAAATACGCACATATGGTATAGACACTCATATTAGTACCGGGTTAATAATGATGATGTAGTGTTCTTGATTACAGCTATTCTGGATAGATGTGAATGCCTTGCACTGAATTAATAAAAAGATCATTTTTCTATTATGTTTTGCTTTAGTGCAAATTCTGTTTGTTGTTTATTGTTGACAACTGCAAATCAAATAGACTCTACCATACCTTGAATCTGTTTTTCAACATTGGAGTCGCTAGAAATGTCTAGTATTTGAGAAAAAAAATTACTGATACATTTATTTTATATAATTATTATATAAATACTAATTGTTCTTTTTAAAATTATGGGAGTTGGCTGCGTTATCTCAAAAAGTCAGTGGTCATACCATGAGACTACACTCTTTGCATACAGTAGGTGTCAATATGCAACTAAAAAAGGTTGTGACCTGTGATCTAAGGCGTCATGGTGCTACATACTGTAGCTTTAGTGGCATTCAGGTGTTCAAACAGAACGTGGGAAAAACTTCTTCCACAGACCCAGTGTTCAACAGTGTTCCTTAAAAGGAAGGAATTCTTTCTGGTTGATTTATTTTATATTATGTTTTGTTGTTTAATGTATTGACACCGAGGTAAATAAGACCAGAAGATAAACGATGATGTGCAGTGTTTCTGTAAATTTCATTTGTATTCTGTTATATAGGATAACAATTTCAGTTTATGACATACACATGAACATTTTTTACTATTCTTACTAAGGATCATTGTATTTACTTTGTCTATTTTTTTTTTTTTTAAAATCATGATAAAATTATTGTGAACAAAAACCACTGCCTGAAATCATTGGCTTGTTCAAAGGGTAAAATTTTCAATAATTGCTCAGTGATCCCATAAAAACAAATTATTTTTCAGCCATTAGAGTTTGTAAAGAAACTTTAATTTCCTAAAGGAAACTCCAAAGGGATTAATGCAGAGGACCGCTTTTTTTTCTTTCTTTCAGAAATTATGTACGTACTTATAGACCACTAGAGGGCACTTGAGCTCCAACTCCAGTCTGCAGACCACCTTATGAGAAAGGCTGTTTTACAGTGTTGTGTAATCTTATGTCACTTTTTGAAGGTTATGATTAAGGATGACCCAAAAATCAGACGATAGCAGTGAGAACGCAACATATTTGGATTAAGACATTTTTATTACAAAATGTTACAAAAATAGGTTAAAAAAAAAGTTTATCTGCACACTGAGAATGATACTGTTATATGTTATAATTTAAATAGATAAATACAGATGTCCACGTCTGGCCCGGGACGGTGTGGGACACAGACTGAGAGGACACAGCTGCACCGATGCAAAACAAACACAGAAACAAAGTGGTCAGGTTGACCTTCCACCTCGTGACGTTCCGCTCCATTCCTGGTGCAGGGATGATGTAAGTGTGAAACTGACCTGCCACAGGTAGACTGACTGGAGCAGCAGCAGAACCTGACAGCCGAGAACGAACCGTTTGGGAATTTAGGAAAAAAAAAAAAAAAAAGATGATTGATGTCATGATTGTGTCACAGTTTAACAAAGACAGAGGCTCTGTTGGATCAATGCCATTCCTCTCTCCCTCTCTCTCTCTCTCTCTCTCTTTCTCTCTCTCTCTCCCCCTCCGACCTCCTCCGACAGGCTTGCGTCTTTTGTGGGAGACGTCTTTTCCTCTGGTTAATTCTCCTGACAGGAACCTGCAGGGGGGAGAGTCACAGGTTACTGATATGTCGATACCACCACCTACAGGTTTGACAGTAAATCGCATATGTATTTAGGAATGTCCAAAGTCTGGCTCAGGGGCCAATCGTGGTACATGAGAGTTTTTGTTCAGGCCAGAATCTTCTCTTAAAAAAACAAATTGGTAGGAAATGGTGTGCTGTAAATCAGTGTTTCCCAATTGTTTTTGAGCCGTGAGACACAGTCGCTCCAGGCTGGCTGGGTTTTTATTAGTGGAACTTAGTGACAGGGGAGAGTATCAGGTCATAATTACTTCTGACAAAAGGCTACGTTTTTTCCTCGTTATAACAAGGCTGTTTTTGACGTGAGGGCTTCTGTGGAATATGGAGACTTTGTAGGAAACTGCTGCTTGTTTTGCTACATTATTTATTTGTTTTTAATTTTTCAAAATTTTACAATATCATTTTTAACTTTAAAATGTTTTTTACAGTCATTTAATCAGACCTGGTGCTATCTGCAATATTGTCCATTATTTGACCGACAATGAAAAAAAAAAAAAACTTGTTTTCTAAGTTTATTTATTTTATTTGATAGGAATCGTTTTGTAGGAATCCCAGCATTTGACACATTGGATAATCTACCACAAGGGGGCGCTGCAGAAAGTTTTTTTTAACTGTTTCTGTGTAAGAAAATATCGATACACTAAAATATTGTGATATTTCGTTTCACAATACTGTATCAATATTCTACAGTACTGTATCGATATTTTTTAACTATTAACATCCAAATATTCATGGCGTTGGTTCATTATTTTTCATTTATTTCTTCTCTAGCAATTACAGATCTAGATATCTGGTTCATGGTACAGTTAAGGTTAGGCAATTTCATCACAACATTTAACAGCAGCAGTTGTCTAATTTGCGCAGATATATCACTGCTATAAAGTTCTAACACAACAGACTAGAGACTTTTATCCTGCTTTTGCGTTTTCTGTGTGATTTACTACGTTGGACTCTGTTCCATGTCAGACATCTGGCTTCTTTAAATGCTCTCCCCTCTGTTTGATGAAGTTGGACTCCTGTTTTCCCAGGACACACCGTTCAATATTGTTCCACTAAATATTTGATCCCCCCCCCACTCTTATAGAACGTATATGTCGGACCAGGCTGTGAGGGCTGGAGAGGTCAGCCCAGGGTCACTCACATGTGCCAAGACGTTCCTCAAGGAAGCCAATCTGCTCACTGAGCGATTCGATGCGGTCTAGTTGCCGGAATGAGTGGGAGAGTAAGGTGGTTTTCTCTGACATGCCCTCGTCCAATGACAGCTGGAAGTAGCTGGTGACCGGGGTCAGGACCATCTGTAACTTCTGCACAGAGTGAGAAGGAGAAGATATGAGGGAAAAGATCAGGACTGATATTGACCTGTGTGACAGAGAGACTCTGACAGTCCGTCCCTACCCTCTCCAGCAGCTCCACTCTGCTCCTCAGACTCTGCACCTCCTCTGTCACGTTCTCCACCAGCTTGAACTGTCCACCTGTAGACACAACAGCGACATGGATTTAAACCTAAGATGGCTGACGTGTTGTTTTAACAGGAAGAGTGTACTGGGATCACACTGTGGTGCAGAGGTCAGTGCTCTTGCCTCACAGTATGATGATTTCCCAGGGCTACCTGCTGGACTTTCTGTATGTAGTTGTGTGGTCCCGCAATGACTGCTGGGACTCGTACTAGCGCCCCCTGCAGATGATACATTAATTAATGCTGTTGTGTTGCATTCCATATAAGAAGTACCATCAGTTACCAGCAGGGCCTGATCGGGTGACCTTCTTGTTGTAAGGCAAAATTAACTGCCCTCTCTTCCACAGTGTGGTCCAGTAACTTTTCAATCATTACATTTCAAACTGTGTATATGGCACCCTCTGCTGGTAGAGGATGTAGAACTGCAAGCAGAGAGTTTACTAAAACTAACTCAAACACCTAAATGAAGATCTCAGGACAGACACGAGCACAGGGGACCTAAGGCGGTGGACACAGGACAACAATCTTCAGTCAGAGGAGACATGAGCACAGGGGACCTAAGGCGGTGGACATGGTGGACAGGGTGGACAGAGTGGACACATGTCACCCAACATAAAGGACTGATGGCTATGAATGCCTGCTGCAAAATGCATCATCTCCAACGAGGTGTCCTGCCTCCTGTTTTTACCCCAGAGGAATGTCTCTGGGGTAAAAACAGGAGCGAGATCACTATGCAGAACACAGTCTACCCAATCACCTCCAGAGTCCCCCCCCAATCCCCCCCCGACCCCCCCGTTCTCTGGTTGCACTTCGGCACACAAGCCGATCGCGGCTCGATCTCTCCCAGATGTGGTTTATTAATGAGACAAGAAGGAGTTAGGGTTAAGAAACAAAGAGCCGAGGAGGAGGGAGGGCAGCGGGGGGAGGGAAGAGGGGGGGACTACGGCCCCCAGCAGACAGAGCTGTCGTGTCGGCCAAGAGAGTGAGAAGAAGGAGATGTGGTCCAGCACTCCTCCACGACGAAACTCTGCTCTAAAAACATTTAAACTTGGATTGATGTTTGTGATCCTCCTCGCCTTGTGCCCACGAGATGATGAAAGAGAAAATGGGAACGCACTCCCACAAATAACCCAACGCTGCGATCACAAAGTGTAAAGATCCATCATGCCCTCCTCCTCCTTCTCCCCCCGTTTTGTCAGTTTTTGTATCTTTCTGACGATTCAGCAGCCGAGGAGTTTGACTTTCGTGTAAATCTGTAATTTGGTCACGTTAAGCCTGATGAACAGCAGTACACTTGGAGCGCGGCCTGAGATGTTTGGCGACCTGACTCTGTTTATAGAGATTAATTTCCTCATTTCTAGTCGTTCTTCGGTGCTCAACAGTGTATCGCTTTCAGATTATTTACAGCAACACACAACAACTCCCAGTAGAGAGATTTTTTGGGAAAACAATCAAGGAAAGCCATCTTTCCTGCTCCATGTTGCGTGAATTCCCACAGAGAGCGGTAATGCTGACGCAGGGCTGATCTTTAGTTTCCAGGTTTGTAGACCAGGAGCGTTTGGTTTGTGTTACACAATTGCTAGGATACAAGGTGGAAGACAACACTGCAGCATTCAGCATTCTTTGGGAAAATTAATGGAGTGTGTGTGAGCGATAAAAACATGTCTATTTTCGCCTGGGGAGTTCTATTAAAGTCAGATGTTAGCTGTGCTCCCAGACTCAGTGTACGGGGCCCAGAGCGCAGCACGTCTGTCTGGAGTCGGCACCAGTCGCAGTGCATTATTACTCACGGTACGAGTTGAGAGTGGCATAGCGCGTACCAAAAGTAATAATGGACCGCGAGGCTGGTTATGATGTCGTCTTCCGTGCCGCCGCCGCTGGAACGACACGCACACGTGAACTCCACACCACACTTCTCTGATGCTCATTTACCTGCGTCAGTGGGACCACCCACCGTCCCCCGACTGTGGGGAGGAGAGGGAGGTGGAGCTGGAGAAGGTGGAGAAGGAGGACGGCTCTGACAGGAGCGGCCGTCTGCGGCCAGCGTGAAGCCGTCTCTACACGCACATCGATAGCTGCCAGCTGTGTTCACGCACTCCTGGGCACACGGCCTCCGCCCCCCGCACTCGTCCACATCTGACAGGAAAAAGAAGGAGTCAGAGGGTCTGTGAGTGTGTGTGTGAGCGTGTGTATGTGTGTGTGTGAGAGTGTGTAAGTCCACTCACCTAGCTGACACCGGGGGCCTGTCCATCCCAGTGGACAACCACAGTGGTTGGGTCTCAAGCAGGTTCCTCCGTTCATACAGGTCTGTCCACACACAGCTGTGGAACACATTTGAAAGGTCAAAAGGTCGTTCTCTTTTGGGCTGGATTCACTGCGTTGAAATGTGCTGTTTCTCAGAGTTGTGATGGAAGAGGATTTTGTTCATAACCGAAGTCTTGTGATGTGTATATTGCTCATTTGTACTGCAGTATTGAGTGTATTACATATCATATTACATCAAATTTCATCATTACATCTTTTCAATTTTCAGCTGCCTTACGTTTTATTTGGTCCGTTTTTTCCTTAACTTTGACTTTGACCTTTCACCTGAACTCCTTAAAATCGACCTATTGTGAAAAAAGATCAACAATCCAAATTGAAATGATTAAAGTTTTGACTCTTTTTTTTTCGTAGTTTCATCTGATTTTAGAAGCAGGTTGTGACCTGGTGTGAAAGACGCCCCCTAGAATTTAACAAAGAGTGAATTCTCTGATGGAAACCAGACCTGAATAGTTGATATGTAGAGAAACCACTTTAAAATTTTCTTAATTTTATTTTGTCTTTGAATTTTGGAAACATGTTCCAGACTGTAGCTTCACTGTGTACAGACGTTGAGTACCGTCACTCTACAGTGTAACCGATGACTGTATTTCTTGGCCGCTGGTTTTCACTCGTTGGCTAATGCTAGCACTGGGTCAAGACATTGTCCAGATGAGTTTGTCCTAAACCAGAATGTCAGAGTCCGGATTCACGTCAGGAAGAGACGTTTTCACTGATTCAGTCCAAACACTGGTGAAACCATGTTGTCTGGTTGTATCTTCTCCTCTGTCGTCCAGCTTTGAGGTGAAATACTTTACAGTACAATTTAACAACGTGTCTGCTTTTAATCAGTGCTCCCCAAACTTGATTTGCACCACAGAGCGATTTTATGCAAGACCAGCAGCAGGGGTATGTGTGTGTGTGTGTGTGTGTGTGTACATGCACTTGACAAAACACAATGAAGTGCTTCAAAAATAATTGAGTCATTTAAATTATAACTTTTGTATTTTAGTGTTTTCTGCTAACACATCATTCTTTATTGCGTCTTAACTAAGACTTCTTCACTCATTTTTGTTTTTTACACATTTTTGCCAAAGTGAGTTTGACGAGGAGCTGACGGTTTTTCAAAATAAAATGCCGGCAAACACAGGCAACGTAAATTTATAAATACAGGGGTTTACGACGATCTTGACCTTTGGCGTTTCGTCTTCATCGCTAATAAGATCTAACAGTAGGTACAGTATGTGCGTTCTGATCTAAAACTGAGTGGCATCATAGGAATAGAACTCCCACGTAAGTCGTAAATAAAAAACACAAATATCTATTCTTTCCGCGCGGCCCTCTGCTAAAGGATTCACGGCCAGCTTCTGGTCCCCGGGCCTTAGTTTGGGTACTTCAGCATTTAATGTTACAGATGAAGACCTATGGTTTATGTGGGTCTGTGTCTGTGTGTTGTGTTAGTGGAATGGTTTACAAGTACATGATCTGGTACCAAACCTCTGGTCCTGTTACCTTGGTTGCAGTTGTGAGAATGAAACCTCCTCCAGCCGGGGCAGCACTCGGGGTAGGAATAGGTAGAAGACGTCGATCTGCTCACCTGCCGATAAGCCACGGAATACACCGTCCTGTGGAGACGAAACACAGACGCCCACGCTGCTGTTAGAGGTTTCTGGGTAGTCACGCTCGCTACGCTGCCCTCATGTGTGCAGTGGAACTAGTCCAGCTTTTTTTTTTCTTCTTTTCTTTCCCTCCATCCTGTCAGACTGCCAGGCTGCTGATGAGAGAATGTGAATTTGGTGGAACACAGAAACCACACACCACCGACTTTAAAGAGTGTGTTGGTGATGAAACGTTGATGGAGGGAAGAGGAGGAGGAGGAGGAGGAGGAGGAGGAAGAAAGATGCAAAGTCAGATCTAAAACCTCCTGGCGCTCTGGTACGGTTGGTTCGTTTTAAAAAAGAAAGACGAAAAGAAAGTCAAATCTACCGTGAAAAGTGAAAAAAAGAAAATCAAATACTTTCATCAAAGCCAAGCTGTCGGCTGTGGGATCTGGGGATCTGGAGTACTGAAGTACAGTTTGTAGAAATGGAGAAAATATTACTGAGACGGGCTGGGAGTATCTAAGTATGGAGGGTGGTGCAGGCCAAAGTAAACATGGCCGCGGTCTCTGCAGACAGATGCTTCATTTCCTGTAGTTAGCAGAGTTGTGGATATTTAGATTTTCACCAAATATGTGGCACCGTGAGCCACAGCTGAGCCGAGATCACAGATCAGTGTTGGTGAGAGAGCGCAAGGAAACGAGGGCTGCGCTCTTTAAACACACGTCCAGCGTTGTTTACCTCTAAACTACACAAACATCCCAACATGCTGTGTGTGTGTGTGTGTGTGTTAGTTTGTCTTTGTCCACATTTTTGACCTATTTTGGTATCACCCTGGATCAGTAGCCCCCATTTTTATGAAGATAAGTTGACCAATCAGGGAGCAGAGCTGGGGCCTAATGAGGCAGAACTTTTACATTTCTGAAGCTCAGGTTGAAGTAAGGAGGAATAACTGTTATAGTAATACTTCTTTAATCATACTGCAGTAGAGCAGTGGCCAGAACACAACATCTGAAACTCGATATCACAGTATCGCCAAAGGCTTAGTGTGCGAAGTCTTAATTTTGACAACTGTATCTCGTCACAAAGGAAATTGAAAAAAAATGTTTTTTTCAGGAGTTTGGCTGGAAATGACTTTAATTGTAATTTTAACTTTGGACAAATACTGAGTTAAGGTTGGTCGAGGAGTTAGTGGGTAAACTGGGTTCAAAAGAAAACAAAAACTTCACCATTCACACTCACATTCACACTTAACGTCACGTTAGCGTGAACGATCGACCTCCTCCTCCGTGTGTTTGGCTGTTACTCACGTGTAAGTGCTGCACAGACGATGGCCCTGACACAGGGTGATGTAGGGCTTGTGAACGGGTCGGACGAAGGACTCCGTCGTCATGACGACACTGCGTCGGAGATCACCACCGCACACCCTCCTACTGCAGGAAGAGAGAGAGGGAGTGGGTGTGAGTGGAGAAAACACCACTGTGACACATTCATATGAAGATAAATGGACGACACAGTGGAGCAGTGGTTCATTAACTCCACTGTGGACCTCATTACTCTACTGAACCTCTTGAAACAAATGTTGGAAAAAATATTGGAATTGAAATACATTTGCCTGGCGATCTCTAGAACAGTGATTATTATATATTAAGTGGTGGCTCGCGGGCCAATTCCGGCCCACGGAACCATCCTCTACGGCCAACGAGTGGATTCCAAGATAAACATCAAATAATAATATTGGACAAAAATGTGATTTTTATTTCATCTTCATTTTTAGTGTCTGGGCCCCACGTCCCCCTAGGGTGGAGCGCCCCTTACTTTGGGCCCCACTGTATAGTAAAAGCCCTCCAAACTCAGTGTATCTGTATATGAATACAGTATTTATGGACTCTGAAGCTGCAGCCTTAATGTCTCTGACCTCTGACCCCAACGGCACCGATTGACCTTTTGATTAGCCCTCAGTTTATTTTGGTCTCTGCGAGCTGACAACGAGGCTCCACGAACCATCGACTGAATGACAGCAGATCATGAACACAGGAAGTGTGAGGAGGGAACTGTTACCCGTGGTGAGCCAAGTACTGGGGAGTACCCATCACATGCAGTACGAGGAGGGAGGAGGAGAGGAGCAGCACTTGGTACATCGTCTCCCTCTTTCCCACGTTCCCTCGCTCCAGCTCTCACACTCTTCTCTGCGCCCGTGGGAGGAGGTGTACGACGAGCAGCCGAAGTTGACGTCTCCTCAGGCCGACTGTGTCCGCTCTCCTGCAGGAGGTTCACTCCAGCTACCTGTGAGGAGGTGAAATCTGAGATTATTGTGCAACACAGACAAAGGCTGTCTCCCTGCTGGGCTGGAGTGGAACTCTGGAGCCTCTCCAAGGAAGGAGGAAAGTTCATTCCTGTCAAAGCATGAGTTTGAAAATGTTCCTCTTTGAAAAGGACACACACACACACACACACAGTGTAGTGTCCGTCTGTCCAGACCAGAAGTATCTGTTAAAAAGGATCAGTATGTCTAAGTTGCAAAAACATCAACCAAACCACTCATCTGTAAGACGACTAATGAGCGTGGGTCAGGACGGAGTTTTTAACTTCCTCTGTTTGATTGAAAGTCCAAGGTCTCGGACCAAATGTTCACGTCTGAAAATAACAAAACTATGTCTCGGCAGAGCCTCCGTTTAACACAAACAGTTCCACAGACAGTTCCTTGTTCCTTCTCCAGATCTCAGCCTAAAATCAAGTTCCTTTGGTTTTTTTTTTTTTTAATTTCTAGAACAAGGATATGAATGGGACAAAGCTAGAACGAAACCTGTTGCAAAGCTCTAGTAAATTCATCAAGTAAAAAAAGTAGATATTTGTTCAGATTAGAAAACGGTTTGTTTGAAGTGTTGACGAACACCTGACGAAGTACTGTGGTAATACTAAGTTACTGGAGACATTGGAGAGACTTGTCTTTACATCATACACTGTAGAACCAGCTGGAAATGTGTTCAACTCTCCCAACATTTTTTTAAACAATTTTTATTTTGTAAAAAAACAACCAAAATGGTTGTTTCTTTTTGTCTTTTTAATGTAGTTTTATTGTTTTGCACGTCTGATCTGACAGTAAAAATTGCTGAGTACTTGACTGAACCAGTACTTTTATAAACACACGCTGCTTCGCTGTGGTTCACTGTTACATTTTTACAGCCACATTTTCATTTGAATTCTTAGTCCTGCATGGTTTTAAATGCAACGTTGTAACTTTTTATCTTTCCAAGATTAAGTTCACGTTTCCCCCCGAGGAATGTCTTAAAAGGTGTAAAGCTCAGTCGGAGAGAGAGAGAGAGAGAGAGAGAGAGATTGAGAGAGTGAATAGACATTAGTGTTAGTGTTCTAGGTGCAGTACTTTCTCAGGCCTGAAACATTTTTATGACCAGCAGTAAACATACTGTATGTCAAATATCAAAGCTGTGTTCTGTGCCACTGTACAGGATTGAAACGACGGCTCAAACCGTCTGTTCCGACTGCTTGTTTTCCCAGTTCATCCTGGCATCATTAAATTCAAACAGCTAATAAAACAGTGGCGTTATCTGTCCTGCAGGTGACGCTAAAAACCTCAGAGGACACGTAAGATGAAACTGCCACACCCCTGGCAGACATGATGCCCAAAGACATTCAGTTAGTCGCTGCAGAGTATAAGTGGGCGGGGACTCGAATCAGAAATGGCACAACTCGCCCCCTTGTGGGATAGTAGAGTAATACAACGCAAGCGACATTGACACAAGGTCTGTGTTTAACAGGACTGATAGAATGATATGTATAAATAATAAATATTATATTATGCATCTATTATAAAGGTTTGATAAAAGAATAAAATACTGGAATTAAAAATAAGACAGAGAAAGAGATGAACACAGTTAAATAAATTATCATCTATTATGAAGGTTTGAAAGAAACAGAATAAAGTAGTGGAATTAAAAATAAGACATTGCGGAAGAGAAAGAGATGAACACAGTTAAATAAAACATTTAGAGAGAAACGATATTTAAAACTATGAAATCGGAATTACATTATTAATAATAATTGTATATGAATTATAACATAAAACACAAATACCAATTAATTCAACATAATGACTAAATGTATTTTATCTTGTTTTGGCTGGTGACGTGTTCTGTCTATGGGTGAAACAAAGTTTTTGTGCTAATAAACTCCAGGCGCCTCGCTTCGCGCACGCGTCATACATCTTATTTGCCGCACGAGGTCACTGTTTCGCAGTGCTACAGAAATATCAAACTCCGGCGACTTATCACAGCAACACGTTTTACTCACGCACGTAAAGTTACCCGAGCTCACACGCCAGAACTAAATGTGTCCAGAAAGTGTTAACGTAACTATTTATAAATAAATTACGTAAGAAAGAAAGAGAGAGAGAGAGAGAGAGAGACTGCGTGTTGAACTAAACACACAGAGATGCTGGACGAGTGCGCGCAGACCAACATCCCGGGGCGCACGCCTGGACTGACACTAACAATCACAAACCGTGTAAAACAAGCTGCGGGTCCCAAACTGAGCACGGAGCGTGGAGAGGAGGCGCAGGAGGAGAAGGAGTAACGTCCGAACACGTCAGTAATCCCACAGCAGGAGTTTGAAGGAGTCCAGTCCAGTGATGGGAGTCCGCTACAGTCAGGTTTGTCCCGGCGCTCAGAGAGTCAAGGAGCCTGGGGGGTGATGGAGGGACGCAGGCGCCTCCTCCTCCTGCTTCTCCTGCTCCAGCTGGGTGTCCCGCACCTCACCACCGCCTGTGGTCAACTCAACCGACTCAGGGGGGACCCGCGTGTGACGTCACCGATGTATGCGTATTTTTAGCCTTTTTGTAAGTTTCTTACAAGAAGAGGTTTTACGGATTAGGATTAACATGAATCTGAGACTAAATCTACAGAACAGTCAGACCACGGGTTCACGTTAATATTCATTCACATTTATTATTTATTATTCTATTACTATTCTACTGTTGTTTTTATTATAGTATAATTTAATTATTATTTTTATTTATTATAACTGGTGTGTTTATTTTTGACATTTGCATTATAAGAGAGGAAAAAAACAAGTTTTTACTTTCACTTCCATTCTCTATTACCATCTGACCCCCCCTCCCCCCCCATCTCCCCAAAAAAAACCCACACTTAAATCTCAAAATCATCACACGTTACAGTCTAGTTTTATAAACTGACTGGTTTTCTTTCCTCCCCCAGCCGTCTGGAGCGGTGTAAAGTAGGTTTGTGGTATGAAGTGAGAACATTTTGTGGGCCACCTACTTGGGCGACTTCACAAGCGTCCCACATTTTTATTTTCCTAAGGCACTTTTACCATAATAAATAAAAAAAACTTTTTAAACCTCATAAATAAAAGGGCTTCACAAAAAGACAGAAAGAGTAAAACATGTTGTTACATTTGTATATATGTATATGTGTATATATGAGTATATGTGTATATGTGTATATGTGTATATATGAGTATATGTGTATATGTGTATATGTGTATATATGAGTATATGTGTGTATGTGTATGTGTATATATCGGTATATATCTGAGTATATATGTGTATATATGTATATATGTCTATATATGTATATATGTGTATATATATGAGTATATATGTATATATGTGTATATACGAGTATATATGTGTATATATGTGTATGTATGTGTATATATGTCTACAGTTCAGTCCGTAAAATGTACACATTTCTGTAAATTGAATATATGGAACAGCCTGGTTAAATCAGTAGTTGTAGATAAACAGGACCTCTTACCCTGGCGTCGTGGGGTCATCAGGTGGGTGTGCAGGCCGAGCGGCACCAGAGGGTGTGAGCTGCCGCACCACTGTACCACAGGGGTCTTCCACGGTGCCCATTTCTTTTAAAGCGGGAGCCGCTGGTTTGATATTAAAAAAGCCCGGCGGTGCGGTGGGTTCTCGCTGCTCCCCAAGAGTCGACTGGTGGCAAATGAAATGTCTTTGGGCGTTTTTCAGTTGCTTTTTATGCAGCGCTTCCTGTGGAACGCAGGAATTGGATGGACAATCCCAGACCGGACTTCCTGTGAGTGTTTGCCGCTGATAAAACCCTTCTCCTGCACAAACACG